ATATTTTAATGTTCATAAATTATGTGAAAGTTTTTTTTTTAATTTTTTTTAATTGTCGTTTTCTATTGTTGCTTGCCTTGGTGTTATTGTTTTGTCCATATCTGCATATATACCAAACATATACATATGTATGTCTGTCGCTTATGTATGGATGTCTGGCCACCTACATTTGAACTCACCCTACAGTAAAGCATTGGTCAGAAAATATACAAGTTTATCACTAGAGAATAGTTAGACAAATGTATAAAGATATAGACCATAGAACAATTATTTGATTTAGAATCGATAATCGAATAAGGGTTTTTATCTTTTTTTCCTGTTTTACATATTCTAATCGAAAATTTTCTTATATGAATAAAGAAAGTTCGAAATCTAGTTCGTATTGTGGTTCATACTAGTTGTAAGGTAATGAAAACCTCTTGTTTTCACTGAGGGTGATGTCATACATGTTTTACATATACATACATATGTGTATCAAGCATTTATTCGCACCACTATTATCCCCATTGGAATAAAACCACGTTTACACGCATACGAATGCGGCACGAGGCAATTGCCGAAACGATGAAAAAATAAAGACTTTTCCGGAAAATATATATATATGTCCATATACTTGTATACATATGTCCATATATGTATATATTTATATTTGTGCTTTTATTTTACATTAGTGTATCTCTTTTAAAATTTTAGAGAATAACACATATTGCAAATTTTTACCATCAGGGGAGCGAAGTTGACTGAGAGCCCTGATCTAGCCTACTTTTATGAAAAAATCTTCTGAATTAAATGGTGTTGCCTCAGTGGGCTGATAACCCAGTCGCGTAAGAGGTAATTGAGAAATAGTCAAGATAATTATACTTTACCTAAATAATCTCCACTGTTGTTTTAAATTTCTATGATATTACGTACATATATACGGTATGGCCGCCAGTATGCCGGTGCAAGCCTAGTCTGCATAACGCTTTCCTTTCATCGGCAAATGCATTTTTCCGAAAAGGTAGAAGTCGCACGGTGCCATATCAGGTGAATACGGGGAGTGGTTGATTTTTAAAATGTGATTTTTGGTCAAATAATCTGCCACAAGCTCGATCGATGAGACGGCGCATTATCGTGTAACAAACGCCAACTTCCATCTTCGCGATATTCGGGCCGAACACGTTTATTTTCGCACCGATGACAAAAACATACTGACACTTAAAACGCAATAACTTCACTTCCAATAAATGAAATGTCATGAAATTTTTACTGGAAGTCGATAAAGGATAGCAGATTCTAACGCACTAGGCGACATATAGATAAACTAGAGTTTACTTTGTTACTGTTTTACTGTTTACTTTGGAACGCACCTTGTACATATGTATATACGAATTTAAGAAAGCGCCAATAATTGCACTCATACATATAAAAGTATATAGAGACTTAATTCGTTATTTACATAAATATATGTTCATGTGTATTGTGAATTACTTCAATAAGTATAAAGACAATTTTCGCAACCCAAAATTTATTCCATCCACATGTCCCTCAAGAAAATTATACAACACTCAAAGGACTTATACATTGCAAGCTCAAATATTATTTGCACACAATTGTAAAATTAAACTGGTATGTGCAAGTATACTCCTAAGGACACCAAGAGACATCGACATTTTTTCCGGCTCTTAACACTATAAATTTTGCAAATGTGAACATCACATACCCATACATCATACTTTAAACGCTCGGTTCTAATGATCTTATAAGCAACCCTTAATAAAAACTAGCATTGACGCGTTTGACCGATTTCTATCACAAGAAAACTTGTTATCAATGAAGCCAAAGACAAATAATAGATCACCTACCCTACAACTATTTATACCTATCCCAATTAAATAATATGGATTATGGATTATTTTAATTATAATACCTTTAACACCCAATTCTCCGGACATAAATATTTATAGACATATATCTACTTGTACTTTTATATCGTATTCTAAAATTCTCAAATTTTAAGGTGCTGGGCAAATCAAATTACGGATTCAGTAGTTTTAAATAGTTCACATTTATTTAAATAATGTAATGTTACGGAAATCCGTTTAGACTGATACTGATTGGTACTAATTATCTATTGAAAGCTTTTATAATTTTCTGTTGCGTATTAATTTCATCAGTTACTATCAGCGTTATTCAAATAAATGAATCTAAGTTTTGATCCTGATGAACAACTTTAATTTTTAATTGAAAATTTAATTTGAAGTCGAAAGTTGTTCGGGATTATAAATTTAAAATTAAATTTTTTATTTTAATAATAAATATTTAAAATTAAATTTTTAATCCCAAAAAACTTGTATAAAAAATTGATAAAATATAAATCGTTTGAATTTGTAAGTTTGGTTCTGTATGGTTCAGTGCGAGCACTAGTTAAAAAATGTGGAACACGAAGTACGCAAACTCTCAAAAATCTAAATTCTGCACAGGTATCTTTTTTTAATTTTTAATTATAAGATTGGAATTAAAATATGTTTTCAAATCCGGAATTTTCGGGATTACAAGTTTTTTAGTAGTAAACAAATTCAAATCTTCATTTATTTTTTTTTTTAATGCTTACTATTACAATTTCCATATTTATACTACATATAACGAATACATTCTATAACTAAATGTGAAAATACCTGCACAGTGAAGACATATTCATATATAATATAATAAAGTCGCATTAATCGAGGATGTGCTTCAAATGGAATTTAAACTTTTATTTTGGTGTTGACAAGTCTTTTCGTAGATGTTCTCACATGGATCGTATACATTTCTCTAAAGAGTTTTAGTACATATAAACAACACAGCCAGAGAGAAGTGAAAAAGAGAAAAGCGAATAGCTGTTTTCACATGCAAATGGAATAGGACTTCTGTTATTTTTGAACCAACAAAGAGGACACATGCATTTGTTGTACACATACATGCACAAATGTTTACAGTTGCAATAAATGGAGCCATACGCATGCAAGCGTGATAGCATAAGCCTTGTCATATGTATTACCACCATTTGTACGCCTTTAAAGTCAACTTGCTCTAGTGGCGGTCATTACAAACGCTATGTTAAATGTTGTTGCTGCGTTCCAACTTATGCCACCCAAGTGCCATAGGCTTGACGCGGAAGGATAATTCCTTTATAAAGCACGAGGTAAGCCGTACCCAATCGGGTCATAACGAACATAAGTATGAGTCAAGCAGGACACATCCAACACATAATACGCATTGATACGCTGGATTCCGCTTTACTATAGCAATTATTTGTCAACTATAAGCAGGCGATGACCATGAATACATAAATTTGTTATGTAAGATCTTATATGTGCATGTAATTGTATCTTTGTATGTATGTTATATTGAGTTTTTTCCGTTCCTTTCCCTCCCCAGCAGTTTGTTCTAATTTATAAATGTCCATGTGTAACCTTTTGAGTGACGTAAACATATTTAAGGAATAAGTTAGTTAAAATCATTTGAGTAGATATAATTATTTCCAGTTCTCCGCCCGCAATGGGTTCTTTTTACTGGATATTTCCTCCCTAATAACAAATTAAACTTTATTTACTGTATTTTACTGAAGCTGAACGTTTATACGCCCACTCTAGCTAAAGCCAGAAATAAATGAAATTTGTGCAAAACATCTTTCTTGCGTGTAAATTTTTCATTGAAAGAAATTTAATAAAGATAGTTCAAAATTGAAAAAAAAAATTCAGCGTGCCATATCACTTTAGAAAGCTAAGAAAAACTCGTAAACATTAGGCCGGTTATGCATTTTTATAATGCAATACTTTTTATCGTATACGCAATTTTTAAAGATATATTTTTCGAGCGTTAAAATTTTGTAAATTCACAACTTAAACATTTTTTCTAATTGAGTCGAAATAAAAAAATACATGTCGAATAATTTGTCTCGAAGAACAAAAAAAATGTTTGCACGAAAATTTTTCTGAATGCAAACTTTGGATGGAATGATCAATATACATACCTATGTATGATATGCATATTCAATTCAAGAAAGAAGAAATAACCTCACCTCAGACTAGGTAAAGTTATGTGGCTGATCTTCGCGACTAGGGTCACTAAGGACTCAACTTAAATAAAACGCTTTAAGATTATGAGCTTCACCATGTACATGTTATGTTTATTAGACTGCGACGAGGACAGGGGGCACCGACTAATGCACTTTCTTGCATTTGCTTTGATAGAAAATTTCGATGTATGCTTTTGTAAGAGTTCATTCATATCGAGACAAAGCAAAGGGAAGCAAAATGTTGGGCAACTGTCCCCTCTTTTACGTTTTGTTAAGATATAATCGCCGATTTTTTTTGAGAGAAGCACGGAAAGCAAAGAGTTAATATCTAGCGCCCTTAACCATTCTGACTTACTATTTCTTAGCTTCGTAGGTAAAGTATGAACTGTCAAGCAAAGTGAGGAAATGGCTTTGTGAATAGGCCAAAACAATTCGCTGTCACGTAGTTCAGCATTCCTTTTATTTTTGACATTCCTCCCATGGTTGCAATTGCGGCTGATTTCAAAAGAATGTTGACGATGTGTTCAGAAATTTGAAGTTCTATATTTGGTATGTAAAGTGAATAAAGATAAAAAGTAGCTAATGAAAAATATTTGTGAGTACCGCGTAAATGAAACGTACAAGAATTTGAGAATATTATATGAAAAAGAATGCATAAAACAAGGTATCGACTTGACCCACTCGTGTAGCACTTAGGCAACACCAAAAGATAATTTCACGATATTCCGTGAATAAAAACAGACTTAGCGAGTTCAGCCATTCCTAGAGCCCTTAACCAAACAAATAATCTATAAAACATTGCAAATGTTTATTATAAAATAAAACCACACCTTCCCAATAGCTTATCTGCAGCAATATAAAGCAACCGATGTCTTCCTCACTCTCTCCATCTTAACCCACATATCATACGAGTATATGTATAACTTAAGTTTGTACATATATTTCAAGTTTAACTTACGTTCATATTTAGTGTATACTGCTGAAGTCTCATAGGATACTTTTATTTTTAGTTTAATTGCCGGTGCTGAGTTTAAGTATTGATCACTTTGCTGTTCAGGTGTTTCGGTGAATTCATCAGATTTGATTTGATTTTCCAAATAAGCTATTCTGTTCCCTTCATGTTGTTTATCTTTTCTTTCCAAAAGCTCAAGGCTCGTACATTTCTCTTGGTCTTCACCAACTAATAAAAGAATAAAAAAAGATGAAAAAAGAAATTACGATTATTTATTAAATAAGTACATGCTTATGTAAGTTTAAATGATATACATAATGTAACTCCTATTATTATTCTAATTTATCCCCCTTATGTCTAATGTTAACTCCTAATACATATAAATGATGAGAATATATTGTATGTAAATAGTATCGACGCATTTCTTAAATCCATAAGAATTATTAATAAAACAAACGTACAAATACACTAAAAGTTCATAAATAAGGACTGGTTAAAATAAATCCATTATTTTTCTAATATATCGCTTAAGTAATCCGTATTTCGCGTTATATAAATGTGATTACAAGCTACGTTATTACGTTATTAGAAAGATAAGATTTCGTCTTAAAGAACTTCCCAGTTTTATGATGCTTGACTCAATATTGTATGAGTCAAAAATTAACACAGCAAAGAGAAAATACGCCATACTTGTATTTACATATTTTCTCCGTTTAAGGCGAAAACACAAGCCAGGCGGTTGAAAATTATTAATTAAATATTCGTCGATTCCGTTCCGAAAAATGGAATGTTAAAGATGTACCACGCTCAAGAAGACCAATCGTCCAGAAGCAGCCAGCTTTTGCTAATAGGAGAGGAATTGTTCTCCATCAGGACAACGCACCGCCAAATTCAGCGATAGTAACTGTTCCTGTCAGTGGTGAAAAATTTTACTCGTGAAGAAAATATGTACATTGTAACTATGGTAACATAAACGTTCAATTTAAATCAAAAATAATGGATTTCCTCGCTAGACCTTAAACAAATATTATATACAAATGAAAAAAAAACCTTTAAATACTTGGTTAAGACCAGTACTTGTAAAATTTGCGCATGACTTTATCATATTACTAAACTATCAGAAAATCAGCATCCCCAGTACCCAAGTAATTTGTTGTATCAACTTGTTTCACGATTGTTGGCTGGGTGATCAAACTCTCTGTCTTGTCTTCAATTTTTTCCGACCAAACTAGAAGTATAAATTTTGTTGATTCAGCTGGATCTTACCAACTAAAAACTTTTCAATAAAAATAAAAAGAATATATGTATTTACAAGTATGTATACTCTTGCCACATGCTTGCATCTTGCATAATAGTTATGTTCACCTAACGGTTTTTTGTATCACTTAAAACTAATCAAGATAGATATGAAATTATATATATATATATAAAGTCAGGATGACGAGACGAATTGAATTCCACATGACTGTTTGTAAGCGATAAATTGTACGACACATGGACCTTGGCATCCAAGGATAGTTGATATTGCAGATTGCGGGATCGGACTATTGCAATGCGTAACAGTTTTTTAAAAGTGCGATAAATCTATAAATAAATGGGCCAGAGAAAATTCCAATTTTACATCCGAGAGGATTTTATAGAATAGCTAGTGACAAATTTGGACGAAGAGCGTGGCGCCGTCCACATTTAAGTGTAAACCCATGTCTCGGAACCTAGTCGATCGATTTTAAACCAAACTTGGTAGGTAATATAATATTACTCTAACCTTCCTATATTACAGTGCAAAAATAGGATAAAAATACTAACTTCTAAATCAGGTTTGTTCAAAAATATTTAGAGGTGATTACTGTGAAGCGGACAAATAGATATTCATGAATAAATAATCACTTTCTTAAGAAATACAAACTCGTGATACTTTTTATTTGCTTTGATTCTTTCACATTATACAAATCAAGAAGCAATCAATGTATCCGGATAAAACTTTGCCACCTTATGACCAAAAATTGTCAAAACTGAGACAGCGTGTTTTTCTAATAACGGTGCATCTCTGTACCTAACTTATAGTAGTATTGACCCTACCCCTATCTCCCTACCTTCTATAATATTTTCAAACATCCAGTCTGCTTTACCGTACATGTTGGCAATACTATATATTATATTATGATTTTCGATATTCTAACAAACTTTTTGCCGAATACCTGTATGTTGATCAGTTTGTAAGTTATTTATTTATAAATTGCTTGGAAATAAATTCTCGAGTATACCTGAACAATGCCAAAGGTTAACGCATCAAACCCAACCCTTTCTCTGCCGCCAATATATCCTTTATAGTGATTTCAAACTTCCCACCTGTTTTGAAACTATTTAGGTTGGTCAAAATGTGTAACATTTTAGTAAAATTACCTAGTATAAAATTTTGAAAAATAATTTTTTTTCCATTCTCAAATAATATTTGAGTTACACCCATTTAAAGGGTAGCCGCTCAGTTCAATCCTGTCCAACAGTTTACTTTTAAAGGCGTTTTTCCCAAACAAAATTTTTCGAATTTGCGCAGTGATAACTCGAAGATGTATTCTATATATTGTTATACATACAATGACTGAATTTTAAAAACGCCGCCATTTTATAAATATTTGATTTTTATTTTACTGTAGGCCATTGTACGATGAACGAGAATTTTTTATTTTTGGGTTTCATCCGTAGATAATGCCGGAATCACTGCAGCAGTTGGAACTTATTTTTAGCGCAGTCGGAGATCTCGTATAACTCAAAAATTTTTCACTTCTTACAAAATTTCACAGTGTTTTCTGGAAACATGTATTTATATATCCTGAATTGTGTTCCTTTGGTTGACGTTTTGCAAATTATCTTAATATATTAAGGTAATTAATTTAAATTAATTCAGCCTCTTCGATTAAGTTTATGACAGATATGTCTTATTTGAGGAAAATTTTAATATACTTTTTGCTGGGGGAAGTAAAATATTGTTATAAGAGATATTTTTTAGAGCGCTTATAAGGCACGTTGCGGCCGATCACAGACCCGGCAAGCCACTATCAGTTAAATCACCTGTTAATTACGCTATAGTGCTAAGCCCAAGGGTTTTCGTTAAAGTTTTTATTAGTTTCTTAAAACCGAATTGACAAATCTAACCAAAACTCTTGTATACGGTGGAGTTTCCGTAGCCGTGACATGCAGAAGAGTGACAGTATAAGCAGCGTTTCTTTTTTATTGTGACGGGATTTCACCTAGTCCCTTTTACTAAAGGGAATGTAAACTAGCAAATTCGATGTTTAACCGTGATAATTATTTTATTGGACTCATCTCTTTAACTGCGTATAGACATATCTTGGATATTTACATTATTTCTTTGGATAGTCTGATAAAATGTGAATCTCGCATCTATCAAAACATTGTCTATTTGGTACCAAGTGTGTCTATACGGAGATTCTCGTAGCTTAATGTATTTTCCTATATCTAATGCTGCATTGGAGCCGGTTAGATTTGATACTTGCCAGAAGATTCATTGTAGAGCTAGACTTTTTCTGTAGTCGAACCGTCCTGGCATTCAAATAATGGTGGACATCCCCAGCAAACATATGTTCATATATGTTAATAACCAGGCAAACAAAAAAAAATTTGTTTTTGAGCATAGATATTACTTGATATATTATATTATGGTTAAATAAGCAAATATATGTTTACACGTTTACAAAAAGAAAATGTATGATTATTAAATTATTAAAATTAAAGCTTACTTCAATCTACAGCGTCTACCAATTTGATGACGTGATTTTGACAGCTTGTGGGCGCCATGTTTGTTCAGTAAGGGCATTGCCATTTCATCATGTTAGGTTACACTTTGGTCCACACTTGGAAATTGTTCAAAATTACTACCCAAATTCACGTTCTCGAAAAAAAACATTGAAAAAACGTTCATCGAAAATTCATCTTTTAAAATCACGCCCATTTCTGGCTAATGGCTTCGTCAGCAAACAAAATTGTCACTATTAGGATGAGTAAAATTCTCATGTGGTTAGAACGCAAATGCCTCTCCAAAAATTGACTGTTTCTTATTTCTTTCGAAATGATTAAGGAAATGCCGTTACCATCAATAACGAGCGTCATAACATGAACCGGAATTTGATGAAATAGACGCAGACGATCTCTATTTTTAACAAGACGGTTCACCGCCTCATATTTCACGCCTAAACATGGGCACATTGCGTGCAAAGTATGGCAACTCGTTAATTTTAAGAAATGGCCAAGTTAAATGGCCGCCAGGATCATGCGTTAATGTAGATTATTTTTAACTAAGTAGGTTATAATACTCGTATGTTACGTTTTATTGTAATATAGGCTGGTACCTAGGTTGAAAAGGGCAATAAAGTTTGCAATGCCGAGAATTTGAAGGGAACCAAGTGATCATTACTCAGGCTGTTAATTTTGCATTGTTAGTCCATTCAATGGTATAAGTTCAAAGGAAATATTTTATCCTGATCTGCCTTCGACATCCGCTTCAATACCACATACAAAAAATTCAGTACGTTTGTATGTTGGAAAATCAACTTCTCTCTTAGAACAGCCATCCATCATGGAGTTAATCTTTATCCATACATTCCGAATTCGTTCTGTAATGTGATACAAAAGTACTACGTCTGTTTGTCAAAAAGAGAGCAGAGTTATTGGCATCGTTTTTTTCTAAATTCAGGAATTTTTTTTTTGAGATATAAAGGCAACAAAGATAGGGTATGTATAACCCGTAGGAGCAAGTGCTGTAGACCAGTGTAATTTAATTCATTTATATCTCCCGTTAGGAAGTCAAAGAAAATTACCAAAATGTTAAACAAATATCCAAATTATAACAAAAGTGTTTTCAATTGACTAATGACAGAACCCCTTTCCAATTCGTTTGCCATGATTATTATTCGAGTCTAATACGAATACGAAATATGTTATGCAGCACTTAACTACGATGACAGCTGTAAGAAAAGATCACCTTTCACATACATATATGAATAAAGAAATATACATATGGTTGGTCAATATTTATGCAATTACGGTACATACATAATCAGATAAGTACATATTTGTATCTAAGCGGTTACAATGTAAGTGAGCAAAGGCAGATATATTTACGAGTACAGCATTTTTCCACAAAGTAAAGGTTTATTTGGACTACGTGTAGTAACTAACATATGTACGTTTATGTATATTTCTGGATAAATATGTTCATATGAGGTTTACGGTAGCGCATACTGGTGGTGGATACATTGGGGTTCAAGCGCCCATATGTACATATGCAAGCGATTTTCATTTTAGTTTAAAGCCCCCCAGAGTGCATTTCGCACTCAGTCACTCACTAGCCTGCACCAAACTTGTTGTTGTTGCTTTTATTACTGTCGTTTGCGATACCAGCAGCCGTGGTCCACGGCAGCAACAACGATTATAAGCGTCTTGTTTCCATTCGTTCATTCATTCATTTTACTGTTGGCCACCATGACCGCTGACGCAGTTAGTTGCGGCAAAAGCGGCAAATAAGAGGTGTTTTAAAGCGAAGGTGCACTTTTTATGACTGTTACTAATACTGTTATACTACATTTGATAAATAAAATACATTCATACACATGTATACAATAGACAAGAGTAGCAAGGCAGGATGGCGAGAAGTGGTTTGCAAGCTATTCATTATATTTCTCACAATAACAACAATATTAAGTTTACACGCTTGTAAGGAACGCGAAAGTATACGCTGTTATGACCTCCATTTCCCCCAACATCAGAACCGCGACTGGTGTTGTTAAAGCTGGTCCCAAATGACCACTAAGCATGTAGCCTCTCTCGGTTCAAAACAGCAGCTCAACTTTATAATGGCCCGCTCATATGTGTTGACTGAGTACATATGAACAGAAAGGAGAACCCAGCAAGCAAAGGTATGATATTGATCAATTTGGGAAACAGAAATTTCTGAATATATACGTACTTATCGATAAAAGAAGAACAAATTACAAAATGCATATAATGTTATGATTGGGAACGACTTTCCTGAAGTTGAAGAGACAGAGGGATAGAGAGTAACTAAGGATAATCACTTTTTCAATTTAATTAAAAGTAGAATATCGAAGAACGCTTAATCCTTATTGAAAGATCGGAAATTTTTATGAACATAAATAAATACGGACGGAGATAGTATAAATGTTGTATGCATAATTATATACACATTGATGCACAAGGAACTATACATATACATATATTGGGGTGAGCCAAAAAATATTAACGAATTTATGGGTTACAATTTATTTACCTTTATAAAAAAATTTTCCGGCAAGATTTTTTAGCTCAATTTTAAAAGGTGTCGGTTATCATTCAAATAGTCCCATATAAATATCACGTAAACAACACGTTTCCTTAAAATATACTGTAACTTTTGAAGTGTTTAAAATTACATTTTTTATAGTGTATATATTTTAAAGACAACATTTTTATTATTTTTTTTTTTTACTGACTATAACAACTTTTACAATTTTTGTTTGTCTGTTTCTTCCGGCTAATCTCTGAAACAGCTGAACCGATTCTGATGAGAATTTTACTGATAGATAGACCTAAGCGGACGATGTCGAGAGCACAGCTAGTATTACCATATATAATAATGTTCCAGTGGAATCCATATGTCTATAATTAGACTTAACCTTGAAAAGATAGGTATATAAATATCACACCGGACAATTGGTTCGTTAATTTGAGTGACGCAAATTTTGGTATGTACAAAACAAATTTGCATGAAAAAACTCTGCTGATAATACCAAAACTTGAGTGTTGTTCTACGACATACGAAGCAACCACTCGTAAGTGGTTTACTAAATTTCGAACAAAACCAAACATATGAATCCAGTGGACGTCAATAAGTAGCAGTTATGGAACATGCTACAGTTATTCAAGTGGACTGAAAGCGAAGAATATTTGGGAAAGGAGAACAGAAACAGTCAGTTGGCAAAATTATTGCGCTATATTTTGGTATTTGGAAAATAAGCAAAGTCGTATTTAAAGTTATGCATAATTTTCAATATATTACTAAATTTGAATTACTTTTTTTATTAATAAATTAGGATACCGGAATTGAAATATCGCAATGTCTCAGTAATATTAATCATTTTTGTGTTTAATAATAATAATAATAATAGACGTTATATCTGATTACTGTACTATTAATGAATTGATGATTATTAGTACACAAGTCTAATACATCTATAAGACGTAATATTTTACAAAATAACTGGTGTTTCTTATTATATTAGTATGCAGACAAAATTAATGTTATTGTTGCATATCATCCTTTTTCGGTAGATCTATCTTTAATGTAACACCAACATTTTCTCTGAGACTTTCGAATAATAGTTGGTTGCTATGTGTCTTTACGAAGAGTAATTTACGAGTATATACTAAATTGCTCTTTTGCAGATTTTAAACAATTTTTAATTTATAACTGAAGGTATCTTCTTGTAATGTTGCTGTCGAGTTTCCTATAAATCATTCCATACAATGGGGCAAATGGAAACAATGTTACATTTTTTCCAGTTTCGTACAGTATTGTACTGTATTGGAGAAACCATGTAAGCAGATGCGCTCTTGACCGCAAGTAACAATCTAAAAACTATTAACTTATGTACAAGCACGGTTATCGTTTTGGTCTATTTGGACGAAATTTGGTCCATTTTTTTTCTCTACGGCCATTGGTCCATCACTTTGTGTCATGTGACAAATTGAAGATTTAAAAAAAAAAATAACATCCAAATCTTAAAGTGAACAGATTAAAACGAAATCAAAATTACATGCAAATATCTTCATCATGAAGATAACTAGTAATTTGAAGATATCGTTTCTTAAATTTGTTCGATTTGTGAACACCCTCATTATATTTGGTCGGCAAATTTTTTTTTGAAATGCTCTTAAGATCTCTTAATTTAAAATACTTGATCCTATTTCTGCTCTACATATCTACATTATATTCATACTATGTTATATTTTTAATATGTTTAGTGATAATATATTTTAGCACATAGGCCTGAAGAATATCTAATATTCGTTTTTTTACATACATATGTGTATAAAGTGATACTAAATGAAAATGTTACTATAATACAGTTAAATGTTAGTTAGTTAAAATGTAACATAAAAAATTAGAATTGAATTAATAATGTGAACGTATATTTCTTTTGTTTGTGGATAAATATATATTATGTTTTTCTCACACTACACACCGAACAACATCCCTCCCCTCCAACTTCCGTTCTACCGATTCGAATTAGGTTTGGTCCAACTTCGGTCCACTTTTTGGTCCAGAAAAAAAGTCCAACGACAACCGTACCTTTATCTTTATTATTGATAATATGTTATTGTGAAGAGCAGAGAGATTTTCCAAAAAGCATCACTGTATTATTACTCACTAATACAAATACATATGTACGTTCCTAAATTTGCAAGACAACTGAGAGTAAACGAAACAAGCCACGTTGAACTGGCTGAATTAAAACGAAAGTGTAGACGAAAGTCTACCCCAACCATTCCTGAGTAGTCCAAGCCGATATAATCCTCTAGGGAAATCCCTTGGGTTGGACAGCTCCCAAGAGAAATACCAACGATGGGTTTTCTGTGTTTTACCGTCCTCGATGCGCCGCTCTGCTGCGTTACGGGCCAACAACAAGTAGAGTGTATACAACAAATACACAACAACAAAATTGAGGCGATAGTAATGCCTCCGGCGATGACGAAGGCAAGCTTCTACACGAACAAAGAATAAAGTTTTATATAGCCTTGTTGCTGTTATTGTGATATTGGATCGAGTGAGTGTGCGCGCCACATGGGAAATCGCTGCGCTCGGTGGCGTATGAGCAACTGAAATACGTGCATGTGCCTGTCATTCCACCACATACCATAATCTACTCTTACTCTAGCCGAAAGTCAAAACGAGAACGAGCAAAAGTAAAAGGTGCAAGGGACACTTGGAATAGGTGCATGACTAGCCAGAATGGGAGGGCGTTTTGCGCCAAAAGTGCAACGACAACGAAGCTAAATAAAAACAAATATCCATGTGCATTATATGCATGAATTATATTGCTAATAAATTGAGTAAGGTTGATCGAAAGATATGCTTTCCATCAGCACCGTACACTAGTACTGCATTCCCAAGTCGAATGGTATTCGCTTGTGATGCCTAATCTGTTGGTTGTTTGGCTGCCACCAAAGTGTTCTTCTAATACAAAAATTAGATTAAAATTGCTGATGTCGCACCAATCACATCTTAACTATAAAAATATGAAGTTTGATTGGAATTTTTTTGCCGTTTATAGGCATATTCGAAAATAAATATAACGGCTTAGATGTTTTTGACAGGTGAAATCATTAACTTGTAGAAAGCCCCACATTACAGCTTTAGACTCGAAAAGCAGGCTGTAGTTTTGTGCGTGTGGATGTGTATTTTATACGCAGTGGTCATCATGAGTTATGTTATGAAGTGTTTACCTGCGCTTATTTTTGTTTTGAATATACGCATGTATTTATATAACTGATTTACTTTATGTAATTACATGTATATACATAAGTATGTACCTATGAATATGTGTATAGTATAGCTAACCTACTTACGTTTAAGAAATGCACGCGGTTTTGCCTGTTTACGCCGGGACATGTCGCTGTTGTTGCTGCAATTGTCAATTGTCACTTCGCCTATCTTTTACATTAATGATAACGATATAGAATATTCACCGGACACCGGTCTCAGAGAAATAAACACCGTGAACATTTCCGCGATTCCAAACCATAACGATTATGCGATAAATATTTTTTTATTCCGTCATTTGCATTCAAATAATTAAATGTAGGCATATAAATAATGTAAATAATTTGACCGCCTACTAAATTTCCACAATTCGTTCTGGTAATAAATGTCGTGTATACTTCAAAGGATATGTGCGTATCCTTTGAATAACGTAAACATAATGTTATAGCATATGCCATGGAAAATCTTGTGGTGCCCTCTTCAATCAAATTCAAAAACAATGCTAAATTCTCTTTGTATTACACGCAATGTATACTGAGTATGCGCTATAAATCGCACAGTGAGCGCAATCTGAACTGCACGTGCCGTAAACTAAGAGAGTTAAAGTTGTGAATTAATTCCAGAGAGTGAGAAATTCAAAGAGAAACACCGCGAGTGTGATTCGAATAAATTGGCATGCCGGTTCAGTATTTAAAATTCAGTTCTATTAAAAACCCACAAACGGCTATTGCATCCTAAGAAGCTAGGAAGCCCGCAATTAAGGTTGCGACAAACGTATTTTTGACTACTTTTTGAAAACCTTAATTGGAATAAAACCTAAAATCACAGAATGAAACAAATCACAGTTATGAACAAAACAACCCCCTAAAGTCCGCACCAATCGCACGGCAGTAATGCAAAGGGTGCTATCGAGAAGTAGTCGAGTCCATTATTTTTAGCGGGCACAATTCGAATTCGAATAGTGTCAGGGGCATACATAGTCATGCTGTGCTGTACCGCTGCAGGAAACTTGAATGCGTTTTCGTTCTCACAACTCAAGAGCAAGAATACTTTTTCACGCTTAAGTAAAAGTCAACAGGAATTCATAAGTTTCACAGTATTCATCGCCCTAATAGGATACAAATCAACGGGTGTTGCAATTATTGCATGAAAACACACAGTTATGAAGTGTTTATATATTCTGCTTTTCTTACACATTCATCACTTAAAACTTGGGCTATAAAATTCTCAACAGCGGGAAGAATTGTGAGATTTTATTAGTAGATTAAATGTCAACTATCACATATGTATACAAGATACAATCCTCCTATGCTGTGGTATGTTGCACACCGTATTAAAGTTTTGTTCATCCAACAGTTTTTATAAAAGTACGAAACAATCGAGATTGATGTAAACGCATTTCTGTAATCATTAATATAAGTAAATCGAAACGAAAGAGGGATATGCATTCATTCAGCTATGAAGAACGTATATTTAATTTTCAACAAAGTTTGTAGCACCTGGAAGGAAACGTCGGAGACCCTATAAAGTAAATATTATATAAGTATATAAATGATAAGCGTGACGACCTGAGTCGATTTAGTCATGTCCGTCTGTTTGTATATACTCGAACTCATTTGGGCATACAAAAAGTCATATTGCTAAGCCGACACGATGTGTCAAATATGCGGAAATGCACCAAACACAAGAATATACAAATATTGACCGACTATAGCCCAAATTTTGTAACTGCGACGAAAGTCATCCTTCAAAAATAGCTTTAAAAAAATCAGATATAAAACAAGTAAGGAAGGGCTAAGTTCGGATGCAACCGACCATTTTATACTATCGCATAGTGAAATGGTATACTCGTTTGAGATTTCTTTATATATTGTAATAATTAGAGCGTTCTTTTGTTTTGTTGTATACGCTTATAATTTATATTATATAGAATGAATTACAACTGTATTGAGGGGTATGAAAATATATCGTTTTTTGACAATGAATAACATTTTTTATTTATTTCATCGATACATGTTATACAGATGATACATGTTTAGCTTAAAAATATTAAATATTAACTACTTTAAAAATTATATTGTTATATTAATTTGTATATAATATTTACAATACTAAACAGAAATTTTTGTATAGATTCTTATATATATATCCAAATTATATTTCTTATCTCCTTATACTATTTAATTTCTATCATATATTTATACAATAATGTCTTATATAATAACAAATTATACATATAATTTAAATTTTCTTAATTAGATTATTTACAAATTTTTCTTAAAATTGTCTTAAAAACTACTGTCAAAATTGCTATACCATTTCTTAATATATATTTGAAAAAAAAAAAATTAAGAACTATTGCAATAAGTCTGAAAACTTTAGCTGGAAATAGAGACACAAATACTGTCATGATAGCTGTGTACTGTCTCAAAAGTAATGGCATTAACATGGGAAGGATCCATGTTTGAAAATGCCCAATCAATTTGTGTACCGTCAGGTGTAGTTGAATATTCTACACCAAGCAGGGAACTAAAGTTTTTTTCTTGGAGCAGATTTCCTATTGAATTCCCTGTAGACATTAAACAAATGTTGAAATCTCCAACAATTAGCATATTTACAATTACAATTAATAGTCTGACAGAGAAAGCTGAATTTCCGCTTCTAAAACTTTGCGGCCTGAATAAATTATCTTTACAGCCTTTGGTTCATTAGAGCTAGCAATACTATGCTTTGCATATATAATATTATAATGCCCCGTTTATTTCTGTTGCTTGTTTCCGTGCTATCTATCCTCAGCTCGTTAATTGGAGTAAATCCCGATATATCAAAATTTTCGCACGGATAACTCCAAGTTTCTACAAAACATAAAATATCTGAAGATAGCATCAAACAGTCGCTTTTTATATCATTAATGTGAGCATGAAAATTTGATGTCCTGATGTTCAGAAATTCATAAAACTGAAACTTGTTGTCAGAGCTTTATTTGTGTTCAATTCCCTCAGTTCCTTAAATACAGGATCCGATTCAGAAAATTTGTTAGGAGGAATAAAATTTCCTATGATAAATAGACCTTCTGCAGTAGTAGCTCGACTTCAAGCGACATATATTGAAGCTCTAGGCATTCTGGGCGAGTATGAACTACAACTTTATTATATGTGGCACCCTGACTTTTATGAATAGTTATTCCCTCAGCCGGAACAACTGGAAACTGATTTCTTTCAATTAAAATTTGTTCATTTTTTTTATATTGAAAAGATTTTAAAACTTTTTCAATTCGTGTCCAAGAACTTTCTAGAGGATGAGGCTTTTTTGATCGTGCTATCAAACCAATAGAAGGTTAAAAAAATTTAATCCACAGAATTGTTGGAAAGGAACATTGGAAATCAATATGCATAAGTTGTCCAGCTGCCGCATTAACCAAGCCATCACTCGTGTTTATATTCACTGTAATCATATATTTGGCGTTTCAGAAGTTTTGAAAAGTTTAACTCTTTCCAAAATATTCTTATTTTCACTTATACCAATTCCTTTAACTGAGTCTTTTGCAGTTGAAAGGATAGCTTCAGTTGGGATTCGACTGAGCTTAAGGGCATTGAAATTATTTGTCTCTTCATTGGACCAAAATAAATGTATGGCATCATCGGGAACTTCTTCGAAATTAACTACTCGAGTTTCAATGAGTGATATGTCCTCATTTGTCATAGTACCAAATGCCATATGGTTTAATGCAATTGCAAAGGCCTGATCCTCCCGTTGTCTCATTATTCTGTTATTTCGAAGTATTTAAAGAACTCCCACAAAGGGGAACCTTGGGATGTATGCATCATTGGGATTAGGAGAGAATATCCACCCATCTCCAACAGATGAGAGTTGCTTCAAATCACCAAACACGATGATCGGTATACCACCGAAGGGGCTGTCTGTTTTGAAAATTTGTTTTATTCTTGCATCAACAGAGCTAAACATACGAGCACCTACCATCGATATTTCATCAACTATGTTTAATTTTAAATCGATAAGTCTGGAATACAATGAATTAACTGTGTCATTGCTAAGTGGCCTTAACTCTCTATTCAACTGATTAACAGGTAAAGAGAACATTAAATGAAGGGTTATTCCACCTATTCCGAATGCAGCTTTACCTGTAGGTGCGCAAAGAAGAACTTTTAAGGAACTTGGATTGGATACAGGTGTAGATTTGTAACGATGGTTAAGTGCTTGAAATATTGCAGATATCAAACGACTCTTTCCTACACCTGCACCGTCGCCAATGAACTCATAAAATGGGCGATTTGTTTTTAGTTCTTTGCTTAGAATTCAGACTTTGAACTAAAGAAAATAATTCCTCAACTGGAATTAAATGGGGTAGTTTAATAAGTCTAATATTGCAATCAGATTCAGTGCCATTTTCTGTTGAATCTTCACCATGCAAGTCCAGCAAATTTATATTTGGAAGTGCCAACACTCTGAACTCATTTTCCACTATAGGTAGTTCATTTTGAGCACCTTCCTCTAAGCATATTTCGTTATAAAGACTTTCTAGAACATTTTCAAATTCTCTTTGCTCAAAAGCATCATATTTTCTTTGATTTTCTTCAATTAGAATACGATGTGTTATGCAGATATTTGGATAGTAAAGGATTACCATTTCGCGGAAATACGCAAATCTGGCCAAATCTGGGTTAATCCTTCTATACCGAATAATACAAGGTTTGGTACGTTTCTTAACCGCTACCGTCTTTAAGAGGCATGACAACCCCGCTTTCTGGTAAATTATCGTTATCCCTCTCTTCTTCTTCATGATCACTGTCTTGTGCTCTTCTACTAGATTTAACATATTTATACATAGATGCAAAATCAGCTAAGCAAAGAGTTTCTAACTGATTGGATTTTTGAACATAACGGTCTAAGATACCGGCTACGAATATTTCAGTCGAACCTGAAGGAAGGTTCTGAAGTTCTACTCTAGGTTTCACCATTCGAACACGTTCCTCAAGTCGAGAGGTATTTATAAATATTTCTGCATTACTTGCTTCCGAAAGATGGAGCCCAATGCAGCAATATACTGGTTCTTGTGCAGATATTTCTGTGCCTGATATAAATTTGTGACCTATATGTTTAAGTTTTTGCTTAACAGTATAATTTTCAGCATTTACCTCTGATATAGCTTCATTTAAGAGCCTAGAAACTCCCCTGTTAGTTTTGGTAATATAATTAATTATATATGAACAGCAAGCATATGCAACCAGTATATATTGGATATCCATATTTTCTCTATGGAGTTTCAAAATCAGAGGATTATAAGCGTTTATAAAACGATCCTGTAATTTTCTTTTTAGAAAAATGTTGGGTTTTGTTAAAACTAGACCTAAGGGCTAACAAATAGTCATCAAAAGACATATTTATTCTACTATCAGACAGGAAATGTTCAAAA